ACACAGTATTTTCAAAGCAAAAGTAACACCCAACAAGAAATGCAAAATCCGCGGCGTCCGTGGGTACAGGCAAGGATGTAGAAGTAGTGGTCACAGGATTAAAGGTTCTGTGAGCCTTAATACTAACCAGTCGCCGAAGCAAAGGTAGGGAGTTGTCTTAAAAGCAACCACCGCGAGCATTTTGCTGAACACGCTAAACGCCAGGCTGAAAGAAGTTAGAGGGTTCTGCTCAATGTGATCCGGTGACGGATTACTAAGTTGCACTTTTTGTTTGGACATTTACCATACAGGGACTTACAGGGTGATTTATTAATCTGGTCCGGAGCCAGGAGTGGCTGTACTCAGGTGCTGACGTACACCGGTACGCTGAATTGCTAACTGTCCAATGACGCAAATTGCTTTGCCGGCAGGGGTGAGATAGGACACAGACGCGACATGTGTGCCTACGATTGAAGGGCACACCGAGCCGTTCGGCTGTGAGAAGTGAACGTTAGCAAACACCACAACCGAAATCGACCTGTCATGCGTGGATTGCAGGGCAAGATCAAGCAAACACACCGTTCGGCTGTGAGAACTGAACGTTAGCCAGACATCACAGCCGCAATGAATGCGTCATGCCTAGACCGCAAGTCAAGACCAACGGAACGCAAAGCCGTTGTTCTGTGAGAACTGGTCGTTAGCCGGACACCACAGCCGCACTGAACGTGGCATGCTTCGATCGATCGGTAGTCGGCCTTCACGCAGGTGAAAAGCCAGCAAAACTGCTCCATGCGAAGTGTTTACTGGGTCACTGTGCTAGCAAGTGCGTAATGCCGCCTGCCCGGATGTGATGACTGGCTGATTGGCGCCGTATTGAAAACGTAAAGCTTTTATTAGGCTACTTTCGCTGCTAAAGGGAATCATACTGCTGGGAGCACATTGTAAGGTTTCAGTGTTGTTCGCTTTACCGTTTCGATCGCGTTTGTGTTACAGCTGAAAATGCACCCTTCATACATGTACATAGAAACGAATTCTTGACTTGGCGTAACAATGCTCTTAGATTTCAGTCTGTCCCGACGCACTGGTGGCATCATCAGACAGCATACCAATTTACCAATGAATGCAGCCACTGCCCTCACAGTCAAACAATTAATGGTTGTACCAATTGACCAGGCCTACTGGACATGTCAAGCACCTGCTTTTTTACCCGTTATCAACCATTGTTCAATGGAGCATATACATTTATTCATTTGTTTGCTAATATTTACATGAAATATGTGAAATATCTGCAAAAAGCAACGAATTAGGTGTTTGCAACATCAAACAAAGCGGACGGCGTCTCACCGTCATGGATGAAGTAACAGCTTTTGCGGTTGCCAAGTGGTCTGGAGTAACATTCGTCCCAGCATTCGGCAAATCGCACTGCTTTGAAAAACCACACCGTACGCTGTTCATCGGATATTGAAGTGGAAAAATATTCCGGTGGCACAGTGCACTGCAAGTGCAAGTGTTGATCATATGCGATTCACAGAAGCGCCTGGAAGTCGCCCGTTTGTATTTAAACAGTCTGGATGGGCATTGCATTTTGTTCACCGGTGAAGTGGTATTTCGTCTGCATGGCGAAGATACGCAACATGTTTGGGTAACCACTAACCCACGGCAATATAGCGCTTTACGTGTGTAGCATGGCGCGAAGTTCATGGATTGGACTGGGTTGTCTGGTAGAAAAATCATTGACCCCCTTTTCATTTCTAGGTGTGTCTAGTAGGTTGTTGTTTAACAGTACCAATGTCTGACATGTCTTAGCAACCTCGCCAACACCATCAGGCGAATGCTCCTCTGTAGCGAAAACGTCGGAGGGCACTTCGAACATCTAAGTCGTTGCTTTTTGCAGATATTTCACATATTTCATGTAAATATTAGCAAACAAATGAAGAAATGTATATGCTCCATTGAACAATGGTTGATAACGGGTAAAAAAGCAGGTGCTTGACATGTCCAGTAGGCCTGGTCAATTGGTACAACCATTAATTGTTTGACTGTGAGGGCAGTGGCTGCATTCATTGATAAATTGGTATGCTGTCTGATGATGCTACCAGTGCGTCGGGACAGACTGAAATCTAGGAGCATTGTTACGTCAAGTCAAGAATTCGTTTCTATGTACATGTATGAAGGGTGCATTTTCAGCTGTAACACAAACGCGATCGAAACGGTAAAGCGAACAACACTGAAACCTTACAATGTGCTCCCAGCAGTATGATTCCCTTTAGCAGCGAAAGTAGCCTAATAAAAGCTTTACGTTTTCAATACGGCGCCAATCAGCCAGTCATCACATCCGGGCAGGCGGCATTACGCACTTGCTAGCACAGTGACCCAGTAAACACTTCGCATGGAGCAGTTTTGCTGGCTTTTCACCTGCGTGAAGGCCGGCTACCGATCGATCGAAGCATGCCACGTTCAGTGCGGCTGTGGTGTCCGGCTAACGACCAGTTCTCACAGAACAACGGCTTTGCGTTCCGTTGGTCTTGACTTGCGGTCTAGGCATGACGCATTCATTGCGGCTGTGATGTCTGGCTAACGTTCAGTTCTCACAGCCGAACGGTGTGTTTGCTTGATCTTGCCCTGCAATCCACGCATGACAGGTCGATTTCGGTTGTGGTGTTTGCTAACGTTCACTTCTCACAGCCGAACGGCTCGGTGTGCCCTTCAATCGTAGGCACACATGTCGCGTCTGTGTCCCATCTCACCCCTGCCGGCAAAGCAATTTGCGTCATTGGACAGTTAGCAATTCAGCGTACCGGTGTACGTCAGCACCTGAGTGCAGCCGCTCCTAGCTCCGGACCAGATTAATAAAACACCCTGTAGTTCTCTCTACGTCTTCAGAATCGGATTGGTTTAATACCGTTCTTCAACATTGCGAAAATGGGGACAGGGGCTTTTTTTACTGCGAGTCGCATCCACAACGTCACAGTGCTGAGAACGCTTGCCAGGTGGGAATCCACTCCATCCTGAAACACTGCCACAGAACCGTGACAGGAGCTGGATGATCCCGAATAACCTAACTGGCCCCACGAGGAGGTTGTTCGGCAAACCAGCGGAAGGTGGAATACAGTGATCCTCTTAGAGCAAACCAGTCCCGTCCTGACCACTTTGGCGCATTTCTGTTAATCACTCTTCCCATTTTGTGGAATCATTGTCGATGATGACTGTCATTGCGAATGAATGCTTCATCTGTCAGGTCACGTGAGGTTGATGGTGCATGATCCTCAGGTTCGTTGTGGCAGGTGCCCCTCTCTTTTCCTTTGTCGTAAACGGGTTTGCCACAGGAATGGTGCAAATGCACAAGCAGTTTGGCTGTTTCATCACTCGACGGTCGTTGGTGTGGGGATAGTCTTTTTAACATGCCCTGTAAGGGCTAGATATCAGTGACTGCGTTTCAGTGGTGGACGAAGGTAAAGGAACTCCACAAATTGGTTCATAGCTTCCTTATAAATAATCCTGGATGAGTGATTCCGGGACCACCTGATAATGTGGGATGCTACTCAGACACTAATCGCAACAGGTGGCACGCAAGAGGCTTGCCAAGTGCGGAAATATGGAGAACAGTTTGGTAGTCTGAAACAACTTGTATTAACAAAGGCTACAAAGAATGGAGGGCAGGTAAGCACAGGCAGACTGGCGTATGCGGCGTGACACACACGGAGAGCAAGTGATCAGTAGGTACCATCAGTTAAACAAATCGACGATCGGGAAACATTAGCAAGAAGAAAATTCACTATCTCAAAATACTGAAAATGTGATCGGTTCATTTTCACTACAGGGATCTCTTCCTAGGCTGAATGAGGGAAGCATTCGATAGAGATATTAGGTGTGGAGACAGCTAGATCGTCCGGACGCAATGTGTATTGACAAAAGCTACACAGAATGGAGGGTAGCTAAGCGGTTACGGACTTTGGTATGCGGTGGGGCTCAGGCGGGGTGAAAGTGAACAGCATGTTCCATCAGTTAAACAAATGGACGATCGCAAGACATACGATGAATAACATCAAATATTTTAAGAAACTGAAACCGTGAATGCTTTTTGTTCGCTACAATAGTGCAGATAGTCCTTTATCGAATGTAATTTTGCAGCTGCAAGAGCTGTTAACAACAGCGAAGTTAAACGCCTGAATATGAGCACGAGAAGTGTAGAACTAGATTAGGTTGCAGAAATCATGACCTGTAAGGAACAGAGTTGTGAAAATGTGCTCGCTGAATACGGGAATTTAGTCCGAATCGTATGAGTGTACGATGACTGTGCTGGGTAAATATGTAGCAGAAAATACTTGACAGAGAAGAGCGCAATTGCCATATGACTGTTGTAAAAGGGATCAGCAGACGCACTTTCACAGCAGAAGCAGTTAAGTACAATATACCAGCCTATTATTTCACCAGATGTCGTGATACTACCCGTCTACACCAGCCGAGGTATAGAGTAGATTTAGAAGACATCACGTCAATCCTTTCCTAGCTAATTCGACTGCAAATTGACCAACCTAGATTAGAGAATGGTGCCCACTGAGGGCCAGTGACTGAATGCTCAGCTCATGGGTCCTTGCTTCGGTGAGCTACCGAAAAGGGTCCAATTTCCCCATACAATGTTATTACGTATTCTGGGATGCAATGTCCCTCAGGAATAGGAAACTTAGGGGCAGTGACTTTGTCTGGTCGAGTTAGTTCTGCCATATCTCGGTGTAAATCTGACATTGTGACAATTAGGAGAGAGGTTTGTTAGATAAAAGCGCATAGCGTTTTCTAGAGCACAAAGAACGCGAACCGTGCAGCTAATAGTAAGAGGAGATATTTTAGCAAAAAGCTGGCATCCAGTTTCATTGCTATCGCAAGTTGAATCTTTAGGCCCGGTCAGCATAAAACGAGTTTAATCAATATCTGGTCCAACTTATTATGTTGGAGCCACATATATTTAATCTATGTGCAGGAAAACAAAGTAACAACGGCTGTAATTATGCGATATATTTTAGGAGACACAAGTGCCCGCACAGACCCAAGGCCACTGCTCCATGGGGTCCTTGTGTGATATCGGAATATGCCTCTCAGTATTACCCGAGGTGTATTCCTCCGAATAAAGCCATTATTCCATCAAACAGCATTGCTGCCGCTGGTGATCCGATATCCGACAAGACAACCCAAAGGTAAGATGTCGTTGGCAAACAAATACAACATATTTTTTGAAGGTTAGACTATGTCAGGCACCCGCAAATCCAGCCGTACATCCACCCACCGGCCTTATACAAGCCTCCAGAGGGCAAGATGGAAGATACCAGTGTATACATGAAAGAATACACCCCAAAATATTGTCCTCAGTCGAAGCCAGTGAAGATACCCGAAGGAAGAGGTTGCTCGGCAAAATTTGATGGAACGCCTACGTACAGAGGTAATTTTGAATTTATGCCAATTTTCTGATGGTTACAATGTAGAAAATGACCTTGAATTGAAAAGCCTGATTATTGAGGATGTGTGTAGGTGTGGGTGTACATTAGAGGGTTATGATGTTCTGCAAACTGAGCATTTTTGTTGCAGACCTTTTATTTGCAAATTAGGCAACACCGTAAGAGCTCCTATCATGGTCTGGCTTGTAGGGTTTCGTAAACCCGCTGCCTTGCGAGTAGGCTGTTGCGTTAAAGGCCCGGGGTGGCGGCCCCCAAAGACAACCCCTAGACAACCGGGTATTATCTCGCCTACTGATAAACCATGAAACTGAGTTGCACTATTCGGTCAACTAATGCTTTGCTTTCATGTAATACTGCAAACAGTCTTCCATCACGCGCCACTCGCATGTCTAATGTGCCCCGGTATCATTCTTCCCCGTTTTGTCTGATCAACCAACGACGAACAGCACTGGCTCCTCCGATATCACTGTTACCGCATAATCCTCTGACATAATCACACAGCGCCAAGCCGGGATTGAAACGTCCCGGATTTTCGCTCTCCGCTTCTACAACCGAAGACACAGTTCAACTTGGCAACGTTAAATATGCGCACCTTAAAACCGATTGGGCAAGAAGCCAGTCTCGCTCGCACGCTGGAACCACTGCAATTGATGTCTGTGGTTTGTCCGAAACACGATTTCAGGATTCCAGCTCAGTCCACCCATTGTCGTCGCCAATGCACCCTTATACCCGTTTCCGCCATCGAGTTTATCGAGACGCCGAGGCTACCGCTTCTGCGCAAGCTGGTGTTGGGGTCTCCCTTGGTGCCAGAACCGAAACCGCTCTTCTCGAGTGGATTCCCATCAACAGTCGCCTTTGTGCTGGCACACTCCATGGCTCGTACAAGGTTAACAGGCGTCGAGAAGACATAATTGCTCTTTTTGAAGTCTCCGCCTGTGCTCCCACTGATTGTAGCCCGGATACCGTCAAGGACCAATTCTCTCAGAACCTTAATGATCTTATCTTAAGGGCCCCCAAAACGGACATCATTATTATGGCGAGGGATTTCAACTCGCATGTTGGTTGTTTGTTATCAAACGAACGCCATCTTGGAGGCTGCATGGATACGGCGAGGTTTGCTCAGACGATGGAGCAAGGCTACTCAGTTTGTGTGCCGCCCATCAAGTGTACCTCTCTAGCACAAACTTTCGCCACCCTAGGCATCACTACGCTACCTGGTGCGCTCCATCATCCCCTCAACCTTGATCACAGATTGACCACATCGTCATAAGTCGCCGCTGGCGTGACAGTATTCGGAACTTTAGATTCTATTAGTCAACCTGCGTGGAATCTAATCATGCGCTTGTACGTGCGTCGGTTTACATACGTTTCGGTGTCTCTCCTAGGACTTGACAAGCTCGAATTAACACTGGTAAACTGGAAGACCCCGCCGTGCAATTGGTATATAAAAAGTAGCTTTGTGAGAACCTCACTTCTCCGCCTCCTCGGTACTCTGAGCATCACTGGTCGCGATTGCAACAGATTATGTTTTCAGTGGGTTTATCCAGTTGTGGTCTTGTTAGTTACACAACTAAAACGTGGATAACGGTCACCTCCGCGGAAGTCCTCGACCATCAGCGAGTTATACCTTTCAGTGTGAAGCACAATGAGCTCTGTCGTTCTACTTCCAGACAACTGAAAGCGAGTCTTCGCCGTGGCGGTGAATTCTCATGGTCTAAACAGGTCAAGGAAATTGAACTTGCTGCCTCTGCTGGTAACAGCCGCAGGTTGTTTTATCTCCTCAGATCCACCGTAAGTAAACATCTGCTCATCATTCAGAGCATCTGTGCGTTAGACGGTATAAAGATGGCCAATCTACGCAGACGTCTGCATCGCTGAGCAGACGACTTTGCTCTCCACTTTAATTACCCAACACAACCTCCGGTTAGACATCCACTAACATCATCTGCTCCTTATTCATTCTGCATAGATCTCGCACAGCAACAGACTCTGAAACGCCACAAAGACTTGACGGTCTTCCTCTTCCCTTATTCGAAGATGGGGGGGAGGACATAGTTGTCAGCGAAATTCTTTCACTTTTCACAAAGTATGGAGCGATGAGAACAAGAACAATGAACAATGATTTATTAAGTGATAAGTGCAACTGCTAGACACGTCCCGTTGGATGGTTGGGGTGAGTATCATGAAGCCAAAATATATCTGAGTCATTTACCGAACGTCTGCCGAGATGAATACTTTAATAACATCAGTGTAAAATGAAAAAAATTATCGAGCGAAAGCGTTCAGAAGTACACTAAGATGCAGTGATCATTGATACAAGGCGTGAGAAAAGTAACATATGGTCACTCAATTGTGTCCATTTGATACATAAATCCTGTAGAGAAGCATGCTTGGCTTAATCCACAATAGAATAGTTCAGATAACAAAACGCTGGAAGGTAAGTGCAACATCTAATCGTTTTTTGAAAACATCCAAGGTAGGAGAGGATACAACTGAGACTGGGACTGCGTTCCAGGGTTGTCAAACCCGAAGGGAAAAGTAATTCCGTCGACACTCTAGACGGCTATATTGTTCCATCAATTTTAAGCAGTGACCCCTGAGCTGCGTGTTGTGGCTACGTTTTAGCAAATGGCGGCATACGTGGTTTGGGTCACTCAATATTTGCTACGCTTATATGAGATCGCCGCGCAGCCTTCGATGACGTCCGCTGAAAATTCCCAGCAACAGACTAGTTCGTTTATGTCCCCCTGGGACATAAATTTACGTGTTCTGCTCCTCAGAAACGACTTACGCTTGTTTTTGGGTTGGAAGGACTTATGTTCCAATGCGTGCGCTACCAGTGTGCCAAACGTCCTTGTAAATATTTCCCAGGCAACATCTGAGGGGCGTTCGGTTAAGAAAGTCTAAGATGTATCCATAGTTGGCGGCATCCGGTTTCGGATTTGCCTGTCACTGTGGCAAGCCACAGGACGCCTGCGCCTACAGAGGGACCATGGATGGCTTGCGCTGCACCACCCACAGCTCCAACCACACACCCCATATCCAGTGTAAACCCGAAGGAATAAGACAAGCTTAGATAACACATTGTAGTGCATGACGGTATGCACTTTATCATCCTCCTTTTCAGGGTACTCCGCATAGCATATGTAGTCAAAGAGTAGAGTAACATGATCAATATGAACCAGTGGTGTGCTTGTAACTATCCCGTCAACCATGAGTTCTTCGTTAGTTAGCACAAGATCCATTATCAACGGCTTGTTATCATTTCGAAATCCGGTGGGAGAGGTTACGTGGTTGTAAAGAGAGTGGCTAGCAATAAGTTCTGGTAAACAGGCTTTAAACTGCATACCGTCGGTTGCCGGCGTTTCTATGTTGTGGACGTTAAATTCCCCAGTGATAAGAATGTGTGTGTAGGACTTGTTCAAAGCAAACTGAAAAACGTGATGCAGTTTGGAGTCCATTTCTGACGTTGAGTTTGGCGGGCGATAAATCACGGCTATAGTCATGTGTCCTTGTTTCGCAACCATAGGCGGCACCAAAGCGAATCAGGAGCTCAGATTTCCAGATGATCGATAACTTCACATCGGAGGTTTGTATTATAGTAAAGAATCACACCGCCATCCCTTCCGGTTCTATCGGTCCGAAGCAGCGACCTACCGGGTAAATTGGTCTCACAGTCGGTTATCTCAGGGTTTAACCATGTCTCTGTAATCATGACGAGGTCCAGCGGTTGTGAGACATGGAGTTCTCTAAGTTCGGCCAACTTACTTAGAAGGCCTTGAGCGTTTGTGTACATGCAAGATAGGGCTTTTGTTTTTAGGGGTTCATTGATGGATGTCAACTTTGTGTTAGTTTGAAAGCCGACCGTTAGGTGGCCGGCCATTCATCGATTTTGGATTTGTGTATTTCAGTCGTGTTGCATGACATTATTGAGCGTTTGGAAATTATTGAGAATACCTGTAGCTCGGGATGTGGATGAAAAGTTTGTCCTGCTCTCCGAGCTGCGCAATTCTGTTGCAGACGTTTCGTTACCAAACTAGGTAACATCTTCAGTGCAGCTATTTGATGTTGATTCGCGAAGTCTCGCATTGGTTTGCGAGACTTCGCGAATCAACATCAAATAGCTGCACTGAAGATGTTACCTAGTTTGGTAACGAAACGTCTGCAACAGAATTGCGCAGCTCGGAGAACAGGACAAACTTTTCATTATTGAGCGTTCCTGAACAGTCGTTTCACTCGTGCAGTGCTCGGTCCTGTTGTGTGCCTTGGGCGCTGTTGTGTCGGTCTCTCCGCAGGAATGTGCAAATAAAGAATTTGTAGCGTTTGCAAGTTCAATGGAATTGCTTCCCACTTTTGGTCGTTCGCCTGCTGCCTTTAGCCGGATTCCTGTTGGCATCCTAGCTCGAAACCTTAACCAGCAATCTAACAGAACTTGCGTCATTCCCTCGGAGTGTAGTATTACTTTCATTAGCCTTGGACCGCAGCCCTTGTAGTTAGGTGATGACGGAACACTTGTCAGGAATTTGGCAATAACATTGTCAACAGAGAGTGCTTCGCGGATGTAGCAGCACTGCTCTCGATCATGTGCTCGCGCAACGTGATCAGAAGAATGCAGAAGCTCGGGAACACCATGAACAAATATTGTTTTCTTGCTATCCCTATTAGGAACGCCGCGTTGGTCAACTGCTTCTTTTGGGTTATCTTTCCAAGGTAGATCAGGTAATATGCGCACTCCGCTCGGTGCGTTGCGAAGACGAACTACTGAGAGCAGGACAGCCTCTGTCTCATCTGCTGAGTCTAGTGTTCCTGAAACAATTCGAGGTTCACCAGAGCACACTGAGGTCGGGTGACGCGCTACGCGTTGCTGCATAGCAGCCTCAACCCGAATACCAATCGCCTCGCAGATGGAACTCCACTGGTTGCGATCGTCTTGCAACTTGCCTTTTATTGTGCCAGATTTGGACTCGGGAACATTGGTGCACAC